GAAAATGTACTTCTGGACATTTAATTTGAACGGTGCCGAGGGCTCTTCACCTCCCACGCGTGGTGATCTGCAGGCACCGGCTGAGGATGTGACAGGCCAGCTGCAGTCCCCGCGTTCTGTCTGTTGCCCGCTTCTAGAGCAAAGGGGCAGAAATCGGTGGAACGCAGCCCCCGCAGCACTGGCCGTAGCGATGCTGCGTTACCTGCCTCCGAGAAGGCCCCAGGCGCAGGGCCCGCAAGGCTGACGAGCCCTTGCAGATGCGGGAGGGGTGGACAGCCCGCGGGTGGCGGCGCGCTGTCTTCTGCAGGCTGAGAGTCACCCGGAGAAGGTCCGTCCCGAGTCACTGCTCCTCGTAGACAGTGCCCTGGCTGCTAACGGCCTCTCTGGGTCTTCTGCGGATCGACGGGTTCGCTGTCACCTTCTCGCTGGCCCATTTGCTCTTTTCCCAAGGGCAACAGATGACTTGCAGTCGCCCCGAAAGATGTGATACAGAGTCTGTGAACTGTAATTTTCCGAGTTCATAGTTCTTACCAGTAGATGAGACCACAAATAAACAGCAGGAAGTCCTATGCTTTATGTGAAGCAAAGGGGCCTGACGGGGATGAACAGATGACACAGGATTTTTCTGGCTCACCAAATTATTTTTCTGCTCCTGATTTGTGAGCAGAAAAGAAAAAAATCAAAAGCTCTGGTGCTATGTGTGACAGTTTATTAGGAGATAGTATGTGAGCATGGCGGGTGGTGACAAGGACACCTCCATTTTGGATTCAAGCTACGTAGAAGCAGAGAGAAAAAACAGTCATGAAAGGGCTGGAGAGGGAAGACTTCTGCTGACTGATGTGTGGCACACAGACCAGTACGCTGTCTCTGTACATATAATGCGAGTATTCATAGGACAGTAAGACTTCAGTTTCTTAGCTGGGACCCTTGGTGACTGAAGTTCCTGCCTTTCGTGCCAGTACGTGACACCAAGTGTCACACAGATGAAGCCTGAAGCACTAACTGGCAATGCAGACAAGGTTTTGGAAAGTCCCACTCTGTTCCCTGGCGCCAGTTATTCAGGATGACCTTCCCAATCCTCCGCTCCTCAAGTCACATCGCTGCCGCTCACATCCTCTTCCTCTCCTTTCCTTTCTCCATCTTTCTTACCTCTTGGTGACTGCCAGCTCCTTCTCAAAGGTAGATGATATTTTCTCATCGTTTGCCTAGGGAAAGTGCTAGAAAACAGTACCTGTGCTCTGGAAGTCTTGCTAGTTGCAAGGAGTTTATTTGTCTTTAGGAAGAACTACAAAGACTTTCAGTCCCGGCCACCTGCCTGGCAGCAGTAAGCAGGGCCCAACATCCCTCGTGGGTCTAAGGGAGGACTAGGCACATGTCTGGCATTTAGCAAATCTCCTGTATTTCCCCATTGTTATAAAAAATGAGTGAATAACTCTGGAGAAGTTTCATGAGCCTGTGCTGCTTGAATCTCTGTCCATGCAGCTTCCTCCACGGCACCGCTTAGCTGGGCTGCTGTGTTACTGGGGACTACGTGCAGCAGCTGGGGCTGCTGTATCACACTACCTATGTGCAGGCATTAAATAAGACCTGGGAAATTATTTTATTCCACGCTTGAAGTCTGCACAAAAGGAGTCGCCTCAAGGCTTTGCTACACGTATTTCTGCTACTATGTAGTAGCTCATTGCACTGTTTGCCACTATAAAAAATTTTGTTCCCGTTGTGTTAAAATACCTGTTTTGCCCAACTTAGAAAACAACATGAAAGATTATTTAAGGTGACATGCTTAGCAAAAAAACAGTAGTGAGATACAGAGCCTTTCATGGGCAGATCATTGCCCAAGTCAGTAAATATGGACTGGAGACAGCAACTTTGTGCCTACTTGGTAACCTGGAGCACATTCATGGCCGTAGACTGGTGTCCCAGTTTCCGGTTGCCAATACAAGCAGAGAGCATTGTGCAGAGCCAAGGTAACTCTTTCCTCATCTGAGGAGATCTCTCTGCATCGAGGCAAACCGATGGGGTTATCTGAGGTAGCATACCAGTTTGCACTGTCAATGATGATGCCCTCGCTGTGCTTTTTATAGAGGACTCAGGTTTCCAGTTATTTTGGTTCAGCAGCTCTCCTGTCATCGGCAGCTTAAAGTGTAGATCTGTCTGTCTGTCTGTCTTGCCTTCAAATAGGGCTGCTAAAATGGGAACACTGGAGGAAAAAAAATCTTTGTCCTACTGTGCATTTGACAACACTTTGTGGCATATCAGCTTTCCTGACATTTGTAGGTGCACATAGAAGCAATGGCAGAAATATATTCCTGGAAGAGGAAGGGTTGATTTTAAATTCAAGCCCCATCATAGGAGGTTGTACCTTCAACTGCGACTGTAACAAGGAAACTCAAATTGACCACCTAGTCTAGTTCTTTTTCTGAAAACTTTGCACTTGAAATGTAAGAAGCTAATTGCAACAAGTTAGCTATAGTAAATACAGTTTTAGTATAGTGACCATAATCCCAGTAAACTTTAAATATATGTTTTTAAAAATAGTTTGCAGCCTAGATGATCCGGAGGCAATGTAAGGCACAGGCTCACTTTGCAAGGAGTTCACTGAGGTTGCTCGGTGACAAGCAGGCAATTGGGTTCGCACTGTTCTGTTCAAAGACAAATACATGGTATTAGCTCCACAGCAAATGCTTTTTTATATGTGGACGGCCCTCTGGGTCTCTCTGTTCTTCACCTGTCTGAACTAAGTAATGCTTTTCAGTCAGCAGCTCTGAGAGCAGATAATGAGTGATTGTGCATTTCTGTCAGCTATCGGGCAGCAATGGGCTACTTTGGTCATTTGTTTGTTGGCTCTGGTTATTTTACGGCAGAGCAGAATGAAAGAACTGTTTTTTTCAATCTGTATTCTGAAATTGAGTAATTAAACAAGGTTTTTGTGGTTTACGCTGACTTCATTACTCTCAGGTCGCTGTGCTTCTCTGCTGTCCTCCCCCACAGCTCCAGGAGGGAAGAAAGGAGATATGTTGCAGTTGAGGATTTAGAAAGAGTCGCACGGCCTTTGGCATTTGATTGAAGCCTTTTGAAGCAAAGATAAGCAAGCATTTCCTCAGAGCAAATTTAAGTCATGACCACATTTATAGGAAAAAAAGTCCAGAGAGAAAAAAATATAAATCTCCATTTCACTTGCATAGTAATGCATCCCTTGAAAAATTGTTGCTGTTTGCAGGGTGGGAGAGCAATGCTAGCTCAATGCAGTTATAGTGTGCAATGTAACAGGGAAGGTTTTGATTTGGGGCTGGAGACTAAAATCAATTGCTAGGGCAAAGGCAAAACACCGGGGTTACTAGGAAACAGAAAACATCCACCTTCTTTTGGCTGGCACATATTTGGTTCCTGCAGCATCACTCAACACCTGTGAATGAAACAGAGCTTTAATGAAAGAGTATCTGTAATAATAGACAGACATGGTCCATTAGGTCAGGGGACAGCGCAGTCACACAAGGTATACAACAGATTGCTTTTCTTTTCTTGAATTGAGCTCTTCTGTTCAATATTTGCTCTCTGCTACTAAGACTAATTTTGTAAACTTGTGTTATCTATGAAGCTGGGCAGCAGGTTTCTATGAATGTGACTGCGATGCAAGTAGTAATTATTCAGGTACATAGCAAGACTAGTGAAGTCCAAACTGAGTTGAGCCTCTGAGCCTTTGAAAATTTAAAATCAGTGATTTATCCGATGAAATACAGTGAGCAGAAGGCTTATTTAGTCTTAACAGAAGGTTATTTTATTTACTTGCTTCTCAGAGCCTTTTGGGGAACTTCGAAAATTCCTAATCGTTACAAATATATACCAAGGAAACTTGTCCTGGGAAACTCCGTTGTTGTTTTAGGGATTCCTTCAGCACTGGCACAGTCCATATGAGGAATAAATAAGTTTTTGATCTTTTTAGAATTTTTATTACCCCATTCCTCATGGTTCAGCCAGACCTAACATGCTTGAGCCTTTGGGATCCCCTCACCAAGAGGACATCAGTAACTTGTGACCACCTGTTAACAGACAAATTACAGAAAGTCTGGAAAAGAAGTATTCCAGTGCCCACAAAACTCCTCTTTATCATGGTGATACTGCTATGCTTTGGGAGACTCCGAGAGCATTTTTTGTTGGTATCATTCAGGATGAAACTGCTGCTAAACCATGTTTGTATGGAATATGCTGCTTTTGGAATAAACTTTAAATTTTGAAAGAAAGAAGGCAAAAAAATAAAATGAAACATTTCAAAAAGACAAAATGACATGAAGTTGGGGATGGGAATAGTAATTTTTCAGAAATGTATAACTTTTCTAGATATTGCATTATTAGACAATGTTAGAAAACTCAGACTTTGACAGAACAGTAAATCCCTTTTCTACCCAGTTGCAGCTTGCTTGTAGAAATCAGGCCTTTTCACAGATCTGCCTGGCAGAATACACCCAACCCCTGGAAAGGGGCAAGCAGTGTGCAGCCAAAGTCATCAAGAAATTATGCAAAGATGGGTGGGGTTTATGTTCTTTTACAGTGATTATAAGGAGAATCAGTCTCACCAGGATACGATGTAGGCCTAACTCTTTAAGCACTGGCACAGGGTCTAGGTCTGGTTCTTTTTTAAATCAATAGCAAAAGTTCTTGCCAGTACTGGGTCTCAGAACTTTGTAAGGTTAAA